ACACACACAGCTCACACACACACACAGCTCACACACACACATACTCCGCTCACACACACACACCCCTCACACACACACAGCTCACACACACACACACCCCGCTCTCACACACACACACACACACACGGCTCTCACAGGTACTCGCAGCACACACGCCAGGGCTGTCTTGCACATCGCACGCCCGCATGGAGCACCCCAACTCCCAAGCGGCTCTTCCGCCCTGACGCCCCCTCGTCCTCGGCACTCACAGCTGCTCCCCCAGTCCCGCCCGCAGCCCCTGGGCTCGCGCAACCCGCACAGAACAAAACCCACCTCCAGGCGACGGGCCGCACAGCGGCACCTCATGCTGGAGTCCCCAAGGCCAGAGGGGCCCCCGGCTGCAGGAGGGGGGCCCGCGGGGGGCCAGGCCCGGACACCCTGCGAGGGGCGCCGTGCTGTGTTCCAGGGCTCCCACGTGACCCGCTGGCCCGGCGTCTACCTGCTCCAGTGGCGGGCGCGTGGCCCTCCCGACGGCGTGGCCCGCAGCGCCCCGGGCACGGAGGACGCCCCGACCGGCCTGCCCAGCCCCGGGCCCAGGTGCAAGCTCCTCTACTATTACGAGGTGCTGGCGTCTGAGGACTTCAGGTAGGAGGCGCCTGCGGGGCCGGGGCCACTCGCCGGGGCTGGGGTGGCGCTGCTGGGCCTTCCGGGGCTCAGCACCAGGGGGTGCCGGGGGAGCCCCCAGGGCCGGGTCCGCTCTGCTCCCACCATACTTGCGGACACCCAACATACCAGGCTGGTTTGGGGGTAGAGGGGAGCCTGAGACCCCCTCCTTGATCTCCCCACTGCTATAATTCCATAAGGTGGTCTAGAATATTCCAGAGCAGTCCTACGTCTTGCAGAGCAGCGCCTCGCTCTCCCCAGGCGCAGCTTCCAGAGAGACGGGGGACGTGGTGGTGAGGACTGCCGGCACCTAGCTGCGTGTGCCGAGTTGGGGCCCACCCTGGGGGGGGTGGCTGAGCGCATTGCTCTGCCCTGTGGAGTCGGGGGGTTCAGCTAGACCAAGCAGGCGGGGGAGAACCAGCAGCCAGCAGTGCGCAGCCCTCCGGGCCCGAGACAGGGCTGGCCGGCGCCGCAGTTGCTGAGCGGAGGCCAGTGGCCTGATTGCCAAGCAGGGGCGAGGCGGTGGGGGGCCGGCCTCCGCAGGCCAGGGCCCCTCTGGCCACGCTCAGGCCCCTGCGTGGCTCGCGGCAGGCTGGGCTTCCGGCTGGGCGCACCAGGATGCAGGGGCGAGGCGGGCTCATGACTGCACCTGCCTGGCCCTGCCCGCTGTGCCCTGGGCAGCGACGGCCTGTGCGGCAAACCTTGGGCCTCACGTGCAGCCACGCTGACCCAGGGCTGTCGCCAGGGAAGGTGACTGGGCGCGCCTTGCCCTCCTCCCAGGGGCTCCATGTCCAGCCTGGAATCCTGCACCAGCGGCTTCTCCCAGCTCAGCACCACCACCTCCTCCTCCTCCGGCCAGTCCCACAGCAGCTCCCTGGCCTCCAGATAGCCGGCCCTGAGCCCAGCGGGGCGGCCTGCTGGCCTCCGGCCTCCGCAAGTGCCCAGGGCACAAAGCTGGCTTGCCTGGAGGCCTGGACCGTGGGGCCTGCAGCCTGGGTCTGTTGGCTGCTGAAGTCCAAGTGTCTGGCGCCCACAGCAGTGACCCAGCTGGTGGACTCGAGAGGTTGCAGGGACAGAACCATCGTCTTGAGACTCCTAACACAAAGTGGACGGTGCCTTCCCACGCAGGGAACCCGTGCACGTCGGCTCCCTCCCTGTCCCCAGCTCGGCTGCAGAAGACAAGCCCGCTCGCCCACGGAGGCCGTCCATCCCAGACCGCCCACCGGCCTGCCTGAGCGCCAGGCAGCCCCTGACCCGTCAGCTCAGGTGCCGGGGCACAGAGACGCTGATGGCCAGCAGGGTCCTCTGTCCGCCCCAGGCCAGTCTGTGGGGCGCGGTCTGCAGTGCCTGGCCCTCATGCCCCCGTTCTGGAAAGCACAAGCAGGGCGTCTTTGGGAATGCTGGGTCCCTCCCCCAATGGGGGCACAGAAAGTGCTGGGTTAAGAAAAACAGTGGGTGCTCACCACAGGATCTGACTCCGTGGGGGTGCCGTGTCCCTGGGTCTGCGTGGTGAGCAGCTAAAGGAGCCACAGCTCACCCTGGACTTGAACCCCATTTTCCCCCACCCTGTCTGGGAAGGAGGACCCTGACTGCCCTCCTCTTGAAGAGCCTGGGAGGACCAAGGCTGCTGAGGCCAGGCAATGATGATGCGACTCTGGCCACGTTTTACCCTCTGGTCCCTTCCTCCTGGGAGCTCTTTGATTGTGACTTCTGGTCACTGTGAGTCAGAGACCCACACCGCAGGGCAGCCACTCATGGCCGCACCGAAATGGCCGTGCGTATCTGCTTCAGGTCAGGCTGGCCCCCGGTGCTCGGCACGGCATCAGGGCTCCTTTGGGGAGGAGAGGCTGTGGCCTTGTTGTGTCTGTCCTGGGGCAGTGTGGCCCCAAAACCAGTTCTAGCAAAGGTAGACTCCTCGGGTGCTGGCACGGGGGACTTGGGTCTCCCTGCAGCTTGCAGACAATTCTCCATTCTGGGCCCCGAAAAAGGCCGCAGGTTAGAGGTCACAAGTAGCAGCCTGCAGTCTCATCTGGCCTGTCTTTAGGGCTTCCCCGTAGAAGGATTTAAAAGTTGGGGCATTTCACATAGAAATCAGGGTCTCCAGCTCCCCCGAGGCCTGGGCGTGCTGGCAGACGGGGCCAGACGTGCAGACAGCGCTCCTGGCGCCCTCAGGCCCAGCTGTCGGCCCGCACCTGCCTGGCGCATGCATCCTTTGCCTGGCCTGGGCAGCCTGTTGGGTGACCTGGGGCCGAGCAGCCCAGCCCTGCTCAGAGCCAGAAGCTGTCTCTGGTGGACACCTGGAGCCCGGGGGCTGTGCCACGTGGGTGCGGCCACTGCCCGTCAGCTCAACACGAGGGGCTCCACGCCGGCCTCCATCCCCACCCGGGCGAGGGAAGACGCGACGCCTTCTCCCACGCGGGGCGCGGCCTCCCTCGCAGTTCTCGCCGCTCAGTACAGGAACATGCAGAACGCTGCCTCTGCCTCAGGTGTGGGGGGAGACGGGAGACGTTCTCAAAACGAGAAGCCCCGAGTCACAGGGCATTTATCGCTGAGAGCAAGTCGCAGTATCAAACTCGCTTCAGCCGCCACGAGAATCCCCTGGCGCCAGTAACAGGGCCGAGGGCGGCCGCCTGCAGGTGTGGCTGGATCCAGGAGCGCGGCGTGCGCGTCTGCTCCCCAGGCCTCTGCTCTCCCCCACCTGCTGGGGAAGGTGCTCCCGGCCGCTCCCAGCCTGCAACCACAGGCTCACAGTCTCTAAAGCAGAGACAGCCTCTGGCGCTGTGCAGAGACGGCCTCTGGCCATCTCAGCCCGGGCGCTGTGCTCACACCTGTGCACGCTTCGGCCAGGGGCAGTGGCCTGCGAGTGCCCTCCCCTCCAGAGGGAGCCGTGGGGTGCAGGAGAGCCCATCCCTGCGGACAAGGGGAGCTGGGCCACAGACCGCGCCGGCCTCCCTGGGCGGAGGTCTCGGGGCCCACGCCGGAGCATTGCCAAGCCGCCGGTCCCTCTGTGGGAGGCCTGAAATGACACCCCACGGAGGGGGCCCCAAGCGCTCCGTCTCTCAATTTCCCACCTCGACCTCAGAGCTGGAAGCGCCTTGCGCTGGTTTCTCTGTCTGGCTCACTGACCTGGACCAGGCCAGAAACCACCCTCTAGCGATAGAACCCACCCGGGCACCGGCTCTAAGAGCCTGGGCTTTGCGGTTTAGATGGGCCGGGGTCCACCCCCGCCTTCCTTTCCTGGCTGTGCAGCTCCAGCAGGTGACCTCACCCCCCCGTGCCTCAGTTTCCCCATCTGTAAGATGGGGTCACAGTGCCTACCTCATTCACTGGGCGGCAGTGGCTTGGCAGGAGGCGGAGGCCGCACAGCCTTCAGCCCGGCGGTGTGCCAGCGGTCAGTTCACTTGACGCTTCTCGTCCAAAGACCTCAGGCTCCTTCCCAGCCACCTGCCGCCGCTCTCACGGGGCCGGAAGGGCAGCACGGCGTGGATCCCGCGGAAAGCGGGGGCTGCCTGCGAGCTGCCGGTCAGACATCCCCTCGTGAGGCCGCTTTGTGGGAACCGGCCCCTGGGGACAGGCCCACCGGCCCCGTGTCCACCACCAGCCGAGAAGTCCTGTCCACAGCTGGACGTGAGAGGAGTCTGAGACGTTTCCCGCCTACCCTGCACTTCGAGAACGTCTCCCTCCCGCCCCACAAAGCAAGCTGTTCGGTGAGAACAGTGACTCGTCAGCCAATAAAACCGTGTTCCTCGTTCACCGGGCCGCTGGTGGCCGGGCGGCCACGTCTTCCGTCGCTGCTTCCTACGCCCGGGCCCCCCGGCGGCTCAGGGCGGGGGTCTCGGCTGCTGCCCGAGGGGCTCGCGGGGCTTCTCAGCGGGGCGAGCGGACGCAGGAGACACGGGCGCGGCCGCGCGGCGGAGACAGACGGGCGTTGGCACAACGGAGTCGCGCTCTGTTTCTTGGGGGACGGGAGCTGCCCCCCAAACCAGTGTTACGTGTAAGCACTGCTGCGATGGCTCCTGGAGCTGCTGGGACAAATCGCCACGACTTGGTGGCTCCCAGCAATCGTCCTCACACTTCCGGGGCCCCAGAAACCTGGAATGAGGCCGCACCCTCTGCAGAGGCTCTGGCAGCCCCTCCTGGCCTCCCAGCTCCTGGGGGCTCCCGGCGCCCTCGGGAGCGGCCACATCGCCCGCTGTCTCCACCGTCACGTGGCTTCTTCCTGTGTCTCCTCGTGAGATGGCACAGCCGTTGGATTTGGGGTTCCCCTGAGACTAGGGTGATGTCACCTGGGGATCCGTCACGAACTCCATCTGCAGACGCCATTTCTGAAGATCACATTCAGGTCGGGGGCGGATGTGGATTTGGGGGAGCTGTTACTCAGCCCGCCCAGCACACAGACCCTGCTGGTTCTCCGGGCACTGCAAAGCAGGTGCCTCGGGCTCTCATCTGCTGACCTGGGGGGGCGAGGCTGGCGGTGTCCGACCCTGCTGCCAGGTGTCCAAGCAAGTCCACCGGCCTGGGGTTTTACGAGGGCTTCGGGGGGGGGGGGGGAGGCCTCGCCCAGGGCGTCCCCTTGGGGACCTGGAGCTGGCGGCCACACCGTCGCGGGGTTCTGCGGGCTCCCGGTTAGGGTCAGGAGGGGTGTGACAGTGCTGGGCGTCCTCCCGCCCAGCCGAGGCCACATCCAGCGGGGAGCGGGGCTGGCGCTTCTGCGTGGACGGCCCACGCACGCCTCCCTGGCAGCGGGCCGGGCTCTCGGGGGCAGCAGCTGAATGGCGCGGCTGTCGCCAGACAGTCCCAGGGGCGGGCGCGCTGGGACGGCCTCGGTCACTGCTGACGTCTGTGGGGCACAGTCGGCCCCCTGAGGTAGGGCAGCGCAGCCCGGGCTCCCGGGCCTCCCTCCGAGGCTGGGCTGGGCCAGTGCAGACCCCAGGGGGCCTCCGAGGCGGCCAGCTGCCGCACCAGGGGCTCTCCGGACTGCTGTGCTCCCTGTGGCTGTGCCCAGGGCGCAAACTTCCCCTCAGCTGCCGACACAGCGGGCCGAGAGAGCGTCCTCTACCCCAGCGGAGCTCCCAGGACTGGGGTCTCCTCAGACCCTCCGAAGGCGCTGCCTGCAGACTCCTGGGCCGGTCACCCAGGGTGCTGAGCCCAGGGGTCGGAGTTGGGCCCAGAAGCCTGCGGTCACAGGACACGGGCACGCACCGGGACTGCAGGGCTACGCCAGGGGGACTCGAGGTGCGGAGGCTGCCTGCTCTCCAACCCCGAAGAGCGGGCAAGCCCGCCCGGCAGCCCAGGGCCGCCTGGGGCGCTCAAAGCAAGCAGAGTGCAGGGCGAACCCGCCAGGCGCGGCCAGTTGGCCTGCACAAGGCCCGGTTGGCGTGCTCACGTTCCAGGAGGGGAGTCGCCGCTCCAGGCGCGCTCCAGCGGCCCCTACCTGCCGCCACCCCCGCCCACCCCACCGCTCTTCCGCCAGCCCTGGCTTCAAGCCACAGGCCGAGCAGGGGAGGAACTGTCCCGGGCTGGGCGGGGCTCCAGCGCCTGGTCGGATGTGGCCGGTTGCGGACAGCCCCTGGCCTTCTCGGGGCCCCGCGGGCGGCCAGGCGCTCCCGGTCTATCTGCGCCCTTGGGGTGGGGACGGAAGGGCCCTGCAGGAAGTGGCTGTGGCTTCTCACGTGTCTGAACCAAGTTCTTCCTTTCCAAGTGAAGCCGGCAGTGCGGCCTCTGGGGCGTGATGGCCGGGCCGGCCTCCCGTCTCCCCACCCTTCTGCCACGCGGCTCGCCCCTTTCCCGTGAACGCGGCCCGGCCTGGGGACCGTATCTGACAGAGTGAAGTGCAAGTGAGGCCACACCAGCTCTGAGCCCAGGTTCCCCAGGCCCCCGCCGGCTCCTCCCCCGAGATCTGTCTCTATGGTGATCCCACTGCAGACCTCAAGGTGCCCTCTGCAGGGCCCGGCAAGGAGGCAGACAGCGCCCAACAGGGCTTCCTGGATGGAGGTGCACACGGGGCCGGCAGGGCCCTGCCTGTTGGGCAGGGCAGAGAGCGTGGGGACCGGCCTGGGGTGGGCGGCGGGGCAGGCTCAGAAGTCACACGCTTCACGAGTCACGTCTCATCGCCACAGGCCCCGCCCTGGCGTTCACCCTCGTGCTCAGAGACCCCCGTCACCCCTTTAACCGGGGGGCAGGTTGGAGCTCCGCCCGCGACCAGGGTCCTGCCAGCTGGCCTGTGACAAACCCGCCACGGTGTGGGCCCCTGCACTTAGTGCAGCAAGGCCCCTGCTGCCGCTCCCTCTCCTCACGCAGGCACGATCTCACCCGAGGGCGCCGCCCTCACGGCCTCCTCTAAAGGCCCCAAGCGGGGCTCCACCTCCTGACAGCACCCCGTCGGGGTTCGCACGCTTCAGCAGAGCGTGGACACACACCTTCGGTCCTCCACACGCAGGGTCCATCCGAGGACCCGCTGAAGCCACAGGTCTGCACACAGGACACTCCCCTGGGTGGGGCGGGCGCCACCCTCATGGCCACCAGTTGCAGGCTGACAGCTCTGAGGCCGACAGGCCGCAGGCGGGGGCAGCGGTGGAGCAGCAGGGAGGACTGAGGCGTGCGGGCCTCGCCCGGGCCCTGGCCCTCCCCCACTTTCCAAGAGAAGCCGGAAGCCCTGCAGACGAAACCTTGGACACGTGGCCTGGTGTCCCGGGGCTGGGCGGGCACCTTATTTCGTGAGGCCTCCAGGTGACCCGTGCAGATTCAAGTGCGAGCAACTCCCGATGAGGCAGAACACAGCAGGTCCTCAAATTAACTGGGTTTTGCCGCAACACTGGTGAGAAAACTAGCAGCTCACCGAAACGCAAGCCCTGGGGAACCGGGGGGGGGGCCCGCACCGGGCTGTCAGTGGTCAGTTTCCCAGACCCTCTTAATGCTCCAAGTGACCACACCCGCGAGATGTGCGGACTTGGGCTAGGCAGCCCCCCGCCCCCCACAGCCTGCTGGGACTGACGGGCCCAAACGCCTCGGCTCAGGATTCAGACACGGCCCGGGTGCCTTTTATTAAATCAATTTATTATTCAAATGATAGAAAAACCTTCTGGGCAGCGGGATGACCAGGAAGGAAGCCTGCAAACACGATCACTTCCTCCTTGATCCTAAGTAGCTCCCTGAGCAGGAAGCAGAATTCTCGGCTAATCTGGCGATGAGGTCTGAAGAGAGGGCGCCGTGCGCAGGAGCCTCCTCACGCCTGGTCAGGGGCTGGCAGGCTCGGTCACGGCTCAGGCACCGGGGTTCGCTTGCTTGAAACCCCCACCTGGGGCTCTTTGGCAGCTGGCAGGTCCTGGGGGGCCAGGCCTCGGCGCAGCGGACACGGGCAGGCGGGGAAGGCGCAGCGTCTACCCTTACTTGGGGCACGCTGGCAGCCAGGTGAGGCCCCCAGGTGAGGCAGCCAGGAGCAGTGTGGGGCGTGGGAGCTACCAGCAGCTGGGTTGCAGCCCTGGCTGAGACCACCTGAGGAGTCGGCGGCTCTGGGCGCTCCCCGTGGGGATGGGCCTGCGGGAGTCGGCTGGGGCAGCGCAGCGCCTCAGTCCTTGAAGGGGCTGCGGGCATCACCCAGCTGCTCCTTCTCCGCCGCCAGGGCCTCCCCGCTCAGCTCCTGCAGCGGATGGTACACGTAGGCCCCGCCGAGGTGCCGGGCCCGCTTGGCTCTTGAGCCCATCAGCAAGGACACGTTGGCCACGGCGCAGAGCAGCAGCAGGAAAACCAGGCTCAGGGTGAGGGCCAGCCAGGCGGTCCTGGGGCGGGAGAGACCGCGGCGGGTGTGGGCTGGTCGGGGAGGGTCTGCTCCACCCCTCTACTCCACCCGGAAGTGGGGTCAGAACTGACTCTGGGGCCCCGCAGGGACAGTGAGGAGCAGGTGGGCCTGGCAGGGACGGGGCACACCCCAGACCCATGTTCCCAGAGTGGTGGGAGGCTCCATGCAGCCTTCTGGGCAGAAGGTAAAAGGAGACTCCCGAATGGGAACAGTGTGCAGGAAGCTCCTGAGTTTTAAAAAAAAAACTGTGCAGGTCTCAGGCCGCTCTGGTGGCGCATGAAGCGAGTTAAGTCTCAGCACGGTGAAGCTGTCGCAGATGCTGCAGCGCCAGCTCGATCCCTGGCCAGGGAGCGACCCCCAGGGCGCAGCAGACCTCTCCTGTCTCCCCGCTGCCCCCTCAGCAGTGTGTCTCAGTCAGTCTGCCCGCTCTGCTCCCGTCTGTCTCTGGGGAGTGCTCTCACTCTAGCGCCTCCCCCCACACCTCTGGCCTGCACCCCAGTCGTATGTATATAAAGTAAATCTTAAAAAAAAAATGGCGCCGAGGAGGCCTCAGATGGCATCAGTCCTGCACCCCAGAGGGTGTGGACAGAGAGGGGGCCTGCTCCAGGGTCCTCCAGGCGGACAGAGAGGGGGCCTGCCACCCATTCCCCCAGGGCAGGGCCCCCAAAGACCTGTTCCTCCGCGTGGGTCTCTGGCAGCAGCCCTCCATGCAAGCAGGCCTGACAGCCCATCTCCCGGGCCTGGCTGGCAGCCGCCCGTGGCCAGGTCTGCAGGGCTCAACCGAAGCCTGACACCCGGGGAGCCTAAGCTCGGGGCAGGCTGGGGCTCCTGGGAGGGATGCCCCCGCCCGGCGCCTTCATCTTGAGCTCCAGGACTCCATGTCCACCCTGCCCCGAGCTGGGTCCCGTGCCACATGTGGCACCAGCGAGGGCACTGAGACTTGGCGGGCTGCACCCAGGCCTCATGGTGCAGCAGTGGGGGTGCGGGGGGGGGGCGCGTACCCCCCAGGAGGTCACGTCTAGGACCTGCTTCGCTAAAACCGAGGGACTCCCAGCACGAGGCTGCGGCAGAGTCCTGGCGCCAGGACAGGGAGCCCAGCCCACTCCCGATGCCCGCCGGAGGCCACACGTCCCTCGCACCATCTCCCTGGAGGCTCCGCTGTGGCTCTCCCTGTGCCTATGTTGAAGGAACGTCACCTGGCTGCTCAGAAGCCACCTCCCGGGCTGGCACCTGAGCAGGACTTAGCCTCACTGGGGAGGGGAGGCGGGGGGCAGGGGAGGGAAGGGGAAGGGGGTCCCAGTCAGCACCTACCCAGTGAGAAGGGGGAGTTGGCCTGTCCTGATGGCAGCCTCCGGGGGCTGCAGACACTGCTTCACTGTAAGAAACCAGGGAGACGCTTAGGCGGGGAGGGAGGGGCACCTCGCTGCGGGGGGACGGGGAGGGCGGTACCTTGGGCGACGAGGCTGTTCCGGGCAGGCGACCCAGAGAGGCTGCAATCGCCCGTCTGGGGGTCGCAGGGGCACTGGTGCGCACACCTGCAAGGCTGCTGGCAGCCCGGCCCATGCCAGCCGAGCGGACACTCTGCGGAGAGGGGACGGGTGAGGCTCGGTGGCAGGGCCGTGTGGACAGCGCGGTCCGGGTCTCTGGCTCTCAGAGCCCGGCCCCGCAGGCAGCCTGGGCAGTGCCCTCTCGGCGGGCGCGGGCCTTACCCTGCTCACAGGTGTCCCCAGTGAAGCCAGGGGGACAGAGGCAGGTCCCCTGGGCCGGGTCGCAGGCAGCTCCGTTCCGACACAGACACTTGCGGGCGCAGTCCTGGCCGAAGGAGCCATTGCTGCAGGCTGGGAGAGCGGGTCTGTCAGAGCTGCCTCTGACCGCCAGGCTGGGGCCCACTGGCACTGCAGGTCCTGGCCACCCCAAGCAGCCCTGTGGGTCCACATGTTCTCCCAACCGCAGTCAGGAACCCACTCTGTGCCAGGAGCGGAGGCCGGCCCTTGTGGGCACAGTTCGTCAGGGAGGAGACCAGGAGGCAAGAGGCCCAGCGGGGAGGAGGGCTGGTGGGAGATGGCCATGTTGGGGGGGGGGAGGGGCTGGGGCTGGGGCCGGGCACAGGCCCTGGCAGGTCACCACAGCGACAAGTTGGGCAGCCATGATGCAAGGCTTGAGGCTTTGGATGGTGCATCAGGGGATGGACTTGTGTCCCCTCCCCACCCCCTCCAAAGGCAGGTCCTTGTCCTGCAACCTGTGAACATGACCTCATTGGGAAATAGGGTCTTTGCAGACACCATTAACGGTCTCAGGATGCGAGCGCTCTGGTTGGAAGGTGTGTCCTGACCTAGTGACCTGGTGTGAGAGGACAGGAGAGCCTGACAGGCGGGGGAGGGCCGTGTGACCACGGAGGCAGAGCCTGGAGGGGTGTGGCCGCAAGCCAAGGAATGCCAGGGGCCGCCAGGACCTGGAAGGGGAGGAAGGACCCTCCCCTGGACCTTTCTGAGGGAGGCAAGCCCTGTCCGGCCCTGACTGTGGAGTTCGGCCTCCAGAACTGAAAGTAAACCTCTGCCGGAAGCCACGGGGGCAGGACCCAGCACTCCCTCGCAGGTCTGCGCCAGCTGTGATGGCGCCAGCATGTTAACCCGCCTCCCGGTGCCCGGCGTGGCGGGGCTGACGCCAGCTTTTACCTTCACTGCAGCTGGCCCCCGTCCATCCGGCTTCGCAGCGGCAGCCAGCTGCCCAGACGAGACAGAGAAGGGAGGTGAGGATCCGGGCGGGCAGGGCCCACGAGGGCTGGGAGCCCCGCCACGCTGCTCCCCCCAAGCCCCACTCACTCTCAGTGCACAGCCCGTGGCCGCTGCAGTTGGCGGGGCCGCAGTCCAGCTGGTCGCAGGCTGCACCCCGCCAGAAGTGCCCCGTGCAATGGCAGCGCCCCGCCACGCAGGTCCCGTGGCCGCTGCAGTCTGGCGGCTGGCAGTGGGGCTCGTGCACACAAACCACCGTGGACACCAGGCGGGGACAGCGCCACATGTTGTCCTGGCTGCAGGAGGAACAGCGGTGCTGGCTGGCCCCGGCTGGCCCCTCCAGCCTGGGTGTCACCCAGGAAGGCCGACCCTGCCCCCGCTTCTCTGGGAAGAGCCGTTTTATAGGTTCTTTCTGTCTCCTCCCCGGGGCCTTGGCACAGCTGTTCTCTCCTGTCCTGCCTCGCTGCCTCACCCCGCAGGGATCGGCTCAGCGTCGCTCTCGTCAGAGAGGTCTGGATGGCCACGCCCTCCACCCACCGGGTGCCGACGGCACTCGCCACACCGTCCCGAGCAGCTGAGGCCACACCGGGACCCAGGGCCTGGCGCACAGCAGGCACTCAGGGCTCACTGAGGGCACATTCGGCGCAGGCCGGCCGCGGCGCTTACCAGTGATCTGACGGGTAACTGGCCAAGGTCCCGTTGAGCACGAAAGTGGCAGAGCCGCCTCCGTCCAGGTTGATGGCGTTGACCACGTCCTGCTTCAGCAGGAACTCCGCCATCTCCCACAGGTTGATGCTGCGCACAAGAGGCCAGCCCTTCTGAAGTGCCCTTCCTCTCCACCGTGGACGGTCTCGCGTCCACTGCAAGGCGGTCCCACCCCAGCCCCAGAACCTGACGAGACACGTGACTGGTATGCAACTGTGTGACCCAGTGAGCTCAGCTTCCCGCCCGTGGGACGTTGTCCGGGATTAGAGGGGAGTCCGCGGGAAGTCTGGTGGCGAAGGGGCGGGGGGTGGTGGTAGTGCCGAAACAGAGGGGTAGAAGGTTTGATGCACACTTGAAGGGGGTTGGGCACATCTATGAGAGGAATGTGGGCGCTGAGCGAGGTCCCCCAGTGACTGACAGACCTCAGTCCTGCGACAGCAAGGATTGACGACACAGATCAGCCTAGGACCCCTGCCCCAGCCCGAAGCCCCCAGGGCTGCCCGCCCAGCAACTGTGAGACCCGGTCCCTGGGCCGCCACACGTGGGCCCAGCGACCCTCGGACCCTGCCCTTCGGAGCTGAGATCTGCTGAGGGACGTTTGTGTTCATCTGCTATGCAGGAACAGCAAACCGACACGTGCTCTTCAGCAGGAAGAGACTGCAACTCAGAGGTCCAATGACTTGTCCGTGTCCCCAGGGCCAGTTGGGGGCACTCTGGGGTGGGAACCCGGTGACCCCTGTCAGGCCAGGGTTCTGGACTCACCCCCGCTGCTCCGTCTGCCCATCCGCGTGGAAAAGTACCAGGCGCCCCTGCCGGTCGTGGCCCACAGCCGTCCTGGCTGATATCACATTCACGAACTTGCTAAAGGAACCTAATAAGGGCGAAGCAGGACGTCGACGGCCCGGTCTCAGGAGGCCCCTGGCCCTGCAGGCCGCCTGCTGCCTGTCCGACACCACTCTCACCAGCCAGCGCTCCCTGTCCCACCTGGTCGGGATCCTCCGTGCAGCCCAAAGGCTCTTAAGTGAATCCCATCACACGCTCCGACGGTGCCCAGTGTTGTCAGAACAAAATCTGAACACGGCAACGAACCAGGACTGCTGCCTCTCCTGGGACCGCCTCTCCCCCCAGCAGACACGCTCTGTTCCCTCTGGCTGAACCGGGTTTCTCCCCAGTTCTTCCCATGGCTTGTTCCTTCTGATCCATCACCTCCTTACTAGGCCGTCCTTGATTGTTGAGTCTAAACCAGCCAGTTTTAGGCCTCCCTGGTGGCACAGGGGTTAAGTCTCAGCACTGTGAAGCTGTGGGCAGCCACTGCAGTGCAAATTTGATCCCTGGCCAGGGAGTGACCCACCAGGGCGCAGCAGACCTCTCACCACTGCTCCCCTCAGCAGTGTTTCAGTCAATCTGCCTGTTCCATACCCACTCTGTCTAGTGAGTCCTCGCACCAATCCACCACACACACCTCCCCAGCTCTTGTACGTGTAAATAAATAAAATAAATCTTGAAAAAAAAAATTAAAAGAGCCAGTTTCTACATTAGGGTGGCGGCACCATTTCCAGCCCTGGTGATCTTGGGTGGTACACACCCTAGGGGTTCACAAACTCAAGCGTCCATCAGATCAGCCAGGGGGCCTGTTCAAACACAGGCTTGGGCCTCACCCTCAAGAATTCCGGTTCCATAAAATTCTAATCTGTCACAAGCTCCTGGGTGACACTGATGAGGACCCACCGGAGTTCACAGCACCGCCTGACCCCTCCACTCACACTCTTCTCCTCATCTGTCCCTCCCTCTAACTTTATTTTTCTTTCTTAGTGCTTGCCACTTCTTTGTGGGATGTTAAACACCCATCTCCTGTCGTACAGTCCACGAGAGTGCGGGCCTTACCTGTCTCAATCCCCAATACCAACAGCAGTAAGAGGTGCGAGACTAAGAGTAGCTCCCTCCTCAGGAGGGCACTGCCCACACCTGGCCCCTCAACACACCTGTCTCCTGGGTCTCATCACACTCAGTGGCCTGGCTCTCATTGACGTAGATGCTTCCATTACGAATCAGCCACACGACACCACTGAGCAGCTGCACGAAGGGGTTCTCGGTGTCCAGCACCTCCTCCTCAGACAGATACCTGGACACAGAGAGGTTCACTTACTTCACCCCTCTGCACCGGGGCCTTAGCACTGGCAGTGCTCTTTCTTCCTCCAGTTCTGACCTTGGCTGACGGGTGATGAATCTTTAGATCTCAGAAAGCCTTTACAGATCATCCTCTCTAAAAGTCAGCACTTTTTACAACTGGTTCATTCTATTCCTTGCTACGCTACACACATTACCTTAACTATTTCCCTGACTTCTGCTTTTCTAGTAATGGGTAAAGTTGGGATGCTTGTTTGCCTTTACTGAGTGAACCACAGAAAGAGAAGCGCCATGACAAATAGGAAGACCACTACAGAAGAGGCATGACCATCCCCGTTCTGCAGATGAGGAAAAGGAGGCTCGGCTTGGTTAGGTGACTTTATCGCGTTGGCACAGCTACAACCCACATCTCAGGCCCTCTACCTCCGAAAGACACAGGGCTGCCTGCCCTCCTCCTCACCCGGTGACCAGGGTCCCGTCGCGGCGGATCCCGAACTGCGCGTTCTGCAGCCCCCCGGAGCTGCTCACCCGTCGCCCGTCGCTCACCACGTTCCCCAGGCACTGGCCCGTGTCCATGCGGAAGAAGCCGCCGTTCTGGGCTACACTGCAGCCGGCCACCCGTGCCGTGTCCTCCACGGTGGCGCGGCGCCTGGACGCGCAGCCGCCGGGCCCGCCGGGCTCCAACACGGAGAAGGCGCGCAGGGGCTCGGCGG